GAAGAGTTGAAACCATATTGCTCGATTAATAAATTAAATAATATATATATAATATAAGTTATATAAGTTAAATAATACTCGCGAAATAAATGGAACTTTATTCATACTTGTCAATCATGTCGATCTTGTATTGTCCGTGCTACTGTAATAACTATAGTTAAAAGAGTTATTAACTATTTTAACTTTTAACTTTAATTCTTCCACATCCTCGTCGACTTCCGTTTGCGCGCCAATTTCAAACGTCTCGAACTACCCTTTGCACCACGATGAAAGTGAACGAACGAAATGGTGGAAATAATCACATCGACATAACCGGTACACGCGTACGACAGTTACAGAGACGAAAATTCGTTGAATGGACCATCGATCGTGCGTTTTAGTTCGAAATACGTAGACGATCCAGAGCAATGGCGTACACGAACGTCGCGACGCGTCTACGCGCAGGAAAATTTTTGCGTTTGAACGTAACAAAGCGACGGAAAACAATATCGACGTACTTCTAATATGTGAAGATCGGTGCCACAGATGCCGGAATAAGCGACTCTGACTCGAACTTCGTTCGGTCCCGGTTTCGGTACTTCCGCCCTCCGCAACTCGAGGGTACGGTTCTTCACGTCGAAGCTGAGGAATTCCATGATGCAGCTCGTCCCGTATCAAATCTGTACTAACGCGGCTCCACATCTCTATCCAACATTTATATAAACGTCTTGCGACATGTTTATGTTTATATGTTGGTGCCGTGCGCCGATGTTTAATCGCCAAATGCTGGCGTTCGTAGTCCGGCAGATCGTTACTACGAATGAAAATTAAGGAACCAATGACTTAAAGATAAGATTTGGTACATTCGCTGACGGATGATCGGAGTTTGGGTCGATTAAGAATGGATTTAACCGTTTGCACTCGAGAGGGGCGCCCTTCAGTCGCCACTTGATAAAGTTTCGAAGATCGATATTAATTAATATGTGAAATTTAAGATAACGTAATGGTGTGCGAAATATCGAAATCAAATAATTCCATGTATTAATTATTATATTTTCTCATTTACTGCTCAAAAGAATATCGTCAGCTTCATAGCAGAAAATTTTTCAACTCCTACTCTTCTTTAACCAAAGAATCGTCGAGTGCAAAGGGTTAAGAGGTGTCGGAAGGGATATCCCCTCGGTGTTTTGGTGTCTTTCGTTTCGTTGGACAGTTCACGAGTAGAGGATGAAGGTGTGATTCGTGCAAGGTATTAATTTGTTGCTTCGTGATCCTTTTTTCTCGTGAATGTACAGATCCACGAAGCTATTTACGAGATTTATTTTATTTGACAAGTTTGTATTCGATATTTCGCGACCTTCTGATTTATTCCCGTTGAGTCTGATCCTTAATCCACGGTATAAGCGTGTTACGATAGCACGAAGCTAGGTTAAGTCCCCTATTATGTTCATCAAATATTAAATGGCACTGTCGCAGTGCGAAGTCGCGATTAGTCGATTTACATAGCACATCTAGATGCAATAGGATTAATAACGAGGAATTGGGAATTTGAAAGCTAGCAGAAGGGATGGTAATTCATTTTTCCTTTCCTCGCGAGGAGGAAAGCTCGGTTATTAAAAGGTTGAGGCGATATTCATGAGAGGAACGATAAATCTTGATAACTACATAGGCACTATTTCCAGCATCTGATAAAATGGTGTTTATAACCAAGCCATGACGTATTTCACTTGTGTTCCAGATTTTTTGCATAACGAAACACATCCTTCACCCTGTTTTCTCGATAAAATATCGCGCAGCGTTTTAAACGGGTATTATTCTCGTTTTACAGAATATTCCGAGAAACTACGAACATCTAGCTCCGATCGATGCAACGAAACTCAATTCCGCGGTACTTTTAACGCAGCAAACGCGAAATCGATTTGAAACATAACGCACTTCCACGTCAGTCGTGTCTATCGATCTCGCAGCCGAGTAAAGTAGAAACTGGTCCTCGACAGGTATGACAGGACCAGAGCTCCCAGAAAATCGGCCCCATCTATTTATAACGATGTTCGATGAACCAATTTCTCGGGTTATCCCTGAAAAGCAAAAGATACGAAAACTACGTTCTCGGACCAGGTGCTTGCACGTGGACCAGGTACCAATTCGCCAGGACAGATGTTACCCTAATCGTTCCAGTGCCCATTGTCTCGGCTATTTTCTTAAAAATTTCTTTGTACCTAGCACCTTTCAGTTTTCCTTTCGCGACTACTCGTGCATGCGGAAAGTTTTTGGAGTCGCAACAGCGGGAGTGCAGGTAAAGGCGACGAGCAGCTGAAAAGCTGAGGGGTATTCGTCACGCGTATCAATTGCCTCGAGAGATTCGTACAGGCTCATAAATATCTCGAGGACGCCTGACCCGTGGAAAGTTTCCGTTTGGACGACAATGCTCTGGTGAACGGCTCTCCACGGAGTGGGATCCTTGTATTCGATTTGTATACTCGTGATTTGTGGGCTCTTTTTAAGTATACCTGGCCCTGGTGGACACCATTTTGGCTCACAGTGCTCGTTCCAGCAGGTACTCTCGCGATTCATGGTGTAAATTTCATCGAACAATCGGCTTCGTTAACAAACGATGCGTCAAAGGCCTTACCTGACATTCATACCTTGAATGATTTTGGAGTACAGGGGCGTCGGTATTAGGATTTAACCCCGTGGTACAGGGAATATTTTTATTTCTGTGTTTATTTTCTGTTTTCAGTTGCGTTTATTAAGAGATAATTCGATTTATTTTTATTGTTACCTCATCTTTGCCGATGTGCGAATGTTAAGAATTATTTGTAGAATTTTGAATAGAAAATGGTATTTGTTAATTTGGTTTTATTTATTCTGCCGTATACAGTAATAATTGGACTCATCGTTCAACGTTTTATCGCCGATTTTTAATTATCTACGATTATCGAATGACTGTATCGTTATCAGAGAATGGTTCGTGATTTATTCTATCAGTGTATCTCGCGGTACGTAACACAGTCGATTGTCGTTGCATTTAGATATCGTGCACGTTTGTTTTCAATTATGTAATAAATATCGACGCGTCAATCGATCTCGATTACACTTGTCGATGCTTGAAATCTATTGAAAATCAATGTATAATTCGCTGTTTCGTTTCTTTTTGTAAAACGTATCTCATTGATACGATTCCGATGTCGAAAATACATTACTTTTGCGATTTAATAGCGTTATTTAATTCTCTGCCGAAGAAAACGTATATGAAATATAAACTGTATCGAAATATTTTAACTTTTCCAGTTATGGTCCATAGATAAAGAAGTAAAGAACTCGTTTGCGAATTTTTCCTACGGCCCTGAGAGGGTGACATCGTGCAATTTACAGCGGGATAGCTGTAAATCTTGAATTTGAAAGCGATCCCGTGGTCAAAAGACATCGCGTTACAATGTAAACCCTCTGTCGAAGATTTACGTTTGAAAGTGAAACCCTTCGAAGCAATTACACCCGAAAGAACCGAGCTTTTCATCGCTTCCCCGCGCTTTTCCCCCGGAAACCGTCTCGGCGAGAAAGCGAAAATATATTTTCTACTATAATTTCAGATATATACGTATTCGAATGTACGCGTATCTTATCACAGACGATATGTAAGCATCTAGAATAATAAATTCTACATGTTTTCGATTTATGTCTAAAAGCGACAAACAATCAGGAGAATAATCGAGAGGCATGTTGATAGCGGGTGGTCTCACAACTGGATGTTTCCTTATCACAGTGGATCCAGGAACGTAAGACAGAATTATGGAGAAAAAGAAACTGGAATAAAGATAAGTTTCCAGGCGATTTCGTTAGTTCCTTATAGGTTGAAGAACTTTATCGAGAGTATAATTAAACGCGGTGTAATTAGAAGCATTCGGTGCTTCGTTAATACGTAATTAAACAGAAATGTGTTTCAGTCGGTGGGAATAAGTTGGTTATAATAAGTTAATAAGGAAGTTCGTAAGCTGAATATAATAAAGACGGAAATTTATCGAGGTTACGCGTTACTCGTGCCTATGTGTCTTAGAGCCTGTATGAAGCATTGCCTGTTAACGAACCGGAAACTCATTTAACTGTGTTAGGTTCATCGAGATTTTTTTACGCCAATCCACCTCTCGTTCCGTTCGAGAAGTATCGTGATTTTAAGAAAAGTAAAATCTTATGTCGTTCACCCTCCACGCGTAAATTAGGTCCTCGTACTGACAGCCTCCAGCTATTTAGACTTCTCGTGAACAAACAAGCAAAACGATGCTCTAAACATGATAAATTTAACCGGTAAGTTGTGAAAATTTTTATCGTGATCTTACTTTAGAATGCTTGAAGATGGCATAAGAATTTCTTGGAAACTATTGTGGTATTAAGAGCAGTGAAGAACGGTAATAAAGGAAATAGAATTAAGGGCGATAGCGGGGCGAATGGCTATGCCATGTTACTTCAATCTGTTCCTTCGGGTCACCCATTTAGTTGAAACTATATAGGCTTATAGATTCCGCAATGTAGTTCAAGAATATATATTATTATAGCTGCAATTACTCAATAATTTTAGAGATATTTACGATTAAAGTTTTATTACTTCTATAAATAAAGATTTATATTACAAGAATAACAAGTGAAGTCGCGACGTAGCGGAGACAGTCGAGAATTCCTATGGTGGAGGTCCCGAGTTCGATTCCGCTTCATAGTTGATATTTTTTTTCAATCTATATTTTATTTTGTATTAATTTTTTGCCTATGAAAACATTGTAAATAAACAATTGTAAATAAAATCTTAATAAACAAATTTATTTTTTACGCTTTCTTACCCTAGTATATATTTATTACAAAATAAGAATACTATGCAAGAAAAACAATTTTCTATAGCAATGTTATTTACTACAAAAAGAAAACGAAAATATAAATAATCATTAGATACAAGAAATACGAAACCTATTAAATTAAACATTGTATAAAAAAGTTGCCTATAATTCCAACTTTGCCGTGCAGCTATAAATGTTCATGAATTAATTACAAAAACTTTGAAATTTATTAATTTTCTACTGCCGAATTGATTTATTAAGATTTTAAATTCTCTCGAGATTAATAATTTTTACCGCCTGCGATCAGCGCCATCTATGATTTGGGCTCAAAAAGCAAGAAAGTGATAGGAATATAGAATAGGCGAGGAGGTCGTCGAAGTGCTCGTCACGTGACAGACAAGGACAGAGAGGGGGTAGAAAAGGATAGAATAGCTCCGGCAGTGAAAAATTATTAATTACTCCATTTTCGTAATTAATTTATGAACTTTTATAATTTCATTGCAAAGCTGGAACTTCAGGCTACATTCTTATATAATTTTCGTAAAGAATTTAACTCTAAATTGTTAGTTAATAATTTTTGCTTAATGGCGTCTATGATTTCGTAACGACGACCATCACGATATTCCGTGAAAATATTTAATACTAAACGAAACTAGAAGCAAAATATGATCAAAAGTTATATGAGAAGATTCGCAAGAACATTGCTTTTATAATGAGTGCATAAAGTTTCATGAATTAATTGCGGAAAGGATAGCAATTAATGAAAAACCAATGGCGTCTTGAACAATCTTCGACAACAATTCAAACATTGCGCAGAGTAATTATTAATAATTAATTAATCAGGGACAAATTTAT